CCCCAAAACCCCAAAACCCCAAAACCCCGCGAAAATTGATTATATTGAATTTAATGAAATTAAGAAATTAATTTTAACTTCATCTTGCATATCAATCAATTATCATATCAAAGAATGAATTAAATCATTTGACTTCTATATTATTGGCTTAGCTCATAAAAGATACATATACAGTACCCTCTCTATTACTTTTTGTGGAATTCTAGGTATTGTCTCCAGATATATGGTCATCAATTTAGAATAAAGATCTGAACTCTTAATCCTTCTTAATGACATAGAGAGAACTCAATTCCTAAATGACTTAGTTTATAACGTCATTAAAGGCTAGTTTATTAGAAGGACTTTGACTGCTATTTTCTGAATCACAAACATTTAGGAATTTCTTAAACAAATTACTTTTAAAGAAATCCGCGCTGTGATAATTTCTCTAAAGATGTCTGACAGTTTCCTAAAGCTTATCTGTTTCAAACTTAACATACCATTGTAAACCGCATTAACTTACGAAGAATCTTAGTTACTAACCTCCACTTTCCGAATCAATAAACTTAATAAAAAGTCTATCTTGACCTGTAGACTCCCCCGAAGTCAGCTAATCCTCAATAAGTTTAGTGCATTTTAAGTAATGAGCCTTAAAGAGAACAGGCTTGAATGATCTCGAGCAACCACCGCATTTTACCTCAGATGCCGATTTATAAAGGTTTTTAAAATTCCTTAAGACTTGATTGCTTTGCTCAAGATCTAACATTTTTGACTGCATTTAGCATAATCTTTCTATCATTTCCTAAGATGAAGCAACTGTCTTATTGTTCTTAGCTTAATTTTCTTTATTTTGATTTCCTCCGTTCAATTGATTATTATTTATAACATTTAGAAGTGCCTCATAGAGTCTCTTATTCTCATCTTTCTGACTCTGAGTTGTAAGTAATTGATTTTGAAGATATACTTTCTCTAGTTTAACATTTTCTAATTCCTTCTTGATGAAATCTAGCTGTGATGAATCAACCATTTAGACATTATTATTTATTGGCTGCATAGTCAGTATTTGCTGTTCAAATTTATCCTTCTAAGATTTGTAATCTTATGCCTCCTTCTCAGACAACTTCTTTTTCTGCCTATAGCTCTTGATCTTCTCTTCTTTATCTCTTATCTGCTTATTAAGATCCTATAAGTCTAGGTCTTTTCTCTATATTGATTCTTTGAGATTGTTCAGATCATTTCTCAGAAACTCTCTCTCCTACTCAATCAGTGCAAACCTTTTATTATGGTCATTTGAGTTCTTGATAGTCTCATTAGTCAAGTCCACTATCTCATTATCTTTCTTTCTTAGTTCTTCTTTCTAAACCTTATTTTATAGTTCTAAGTCCTGCATCTTCTCTGTGTACTCACAATTCAGCTTCATCCGAAGTTCATCAATCTCAGCTTTAGCATTTTAAAGTCTCTCAGTTAAGATAGCGTTTTCAGTTTTATATTTAATTCTATCACTCTCTCCATCCTATAGTCGTGTAAAGCATTATTCTTTTTCATGATTTAGTTCTTGCTTGTATCTTAAGGATTCGTGCTCAGCTGTTTTAAGCTTTTCTTAGAGTATTCTTATAGTATTACAACTATTATTTTCTCTATCAGAGAGGAAGTCTTCTGTTAGCTGTAAACTCTTGTTGAATAAAAACTCATAGACATGCTCTTTTATAGCGAATCCTTAAGACATCGTCTATAGAGTCTCATTTCTGAGTTGTTCAAAATCAAATTTAAGGTCAGAGTAGCTCTTATAGAGATTTTACATAACTTTTGCTTTTATATTCTAGGTCACACATGACTCTAAAATTTTGATGCACTCATCCCTTGTCACCTATGTATTTTTCTTCTCTATTTGTGCTTATCTCGTCTTTATTTCCTTCTTCAGTTTCATTTGATACTCTTGACCTTTGGAATTATTGATGTCACCAAGAACTTTTGCCTTAAAATTGACTAATGCTTCCTGCTTCCCTTTCAGCAAAGCATCTTTTAATTTGTCTTCATTTAAAGGAAGAGATTTTTCAATTGCAGTTTTAATTTTAGTATCATATTCTGCTATCACTTCCTTGAAAGCTCTATCAAGTTCTGAAGCTTGCATGTAATTCCAAGCATTTTCAATTGTTGGAACTTTTCCTCCATTAAGTGCCTTTACATATGCTTCAGCTAATTCAATAAGCATCGGTCCATTGATGATTTAATTCTTAAGAAGCTTAGGTTTGACCTTTTTAAATATCTTAGACCTGAGATTGTTGATTTGCTCAACAAATTCAGCTCTAAGGTCACTGTTTTTAAGGGTATTCAAGGTTTATAGCTTTTATTCCTCTTCAATTGGTCTAACAAGAGTTTAGCAATCTCTGTCTTTAAAGAAATGTTTAATAAGTCTTCTAATTCTATTCTTGTTTTCAATTGCATCAGAAACTCCTTTCTGCTCCTTAAGAGAGTTTTCTAAATACTACTTCGATGATATCTGATTGCCATCTTGATCAATAAGTCTTAAAGCGAAATCTCTTAGAATCCAAAGGAAGGATGGGAAATATTCAGCAAGTTCATCAGGGTCCTCAGCCTTCTGATCATTCTTTATTTAGAGAGTCTTTGACAAATTAACTACAAGTGATAGATTGTTAAGCACATTCTCATCAATACTACCAACGCTATTGTAAATCAGTAATGAGGAAAGCAAGAGTGCTAGCAAGAAGATCTTAGTATCGTGGTTGTCATCTTCATCAAAAGCACCAAGCCCCTCAGTGTCTATAATGATTATAGGTGTCTCCCTGTCTTCATCATTTTAAGCATAGAATATCTCTTTCCAAATCCACAAACCCTTAGTGCAAGGATTGATAGTGGGCCCTACTTAGAATCCTCTTTTTGCTCTATCTTCAGCTAATTACTCCATGAAAAGTTTATTGAGAATGTATGATTTTCCAGTTCTGTATTTACCACAGATGGCTATGATTCCAACCTTCCCTTTAATCTAAGTCAGGAACTCTACAGCTTCATCGTTTATCTTGAATCCATTTTCTATGGTAAACATGATAAATGGAATTGCAACTGATTATGTTGGTACTGCTAGCTTATCCATTTGTTTGAATTACTTATTCAAATTTATTTTAAATTCAAATTTCAACTAACTACCAATAACTATCTATTGCTATAAAGTGGGGTTTTGGGGTTTTGGGGTTTTGGGG